TCGGGTGAGACAAAGTTACCGTTCTGAAAAGTAATAAGAAATAACAATAAGAAGAAACACTAAACCCAGTAAGATCAAAAGGGTTGGAAATAATTCAGTAATCTAAACGAAATTGGAAGGTATTGTACGATTGCCTTTACATTGGTTATGATAAACAAAATCTGTTCGAGACATTATCAACAAATAAATTATGAGTAATATTGTGTCACTGTATACTTGAAGGTTATTAACAATAAAATTTCATCTCGGTAAACTTTGTCACCTGAATTTTAAAACTGAAGTGATTGAGGAAATGATTACCAGTAAATAAAGCGAATCTTTCAGTAGTGTCAAGGTTTATTCGATTTGTTTCCGATGGATATATGTGTGGCTAAGAATTCATAACAGAATGGAATCCACTAACTAATAATCCTTGTGTATCATGAAGCTTACAGCATCACAAAGTTAAAACATCAGTATATGAACTTTTACGAGTGAATTTTTAAAATGTTTATAGGAGATGAATTTTAGTGGGTTTCAAACCAAACCAAACTGGAAGACTGCTACCTTAAGAGTCTAAAAAACCTTAATAAATGAAAATTTTCTACTCCGCAGAGCCGAAATAGAAAAAAACAGCGTTTCGATGGACTAATCTTTAGTATCAGCTGTAAGTGAATGAATGCAAAAGACGTCTTATAACCACTGATGTAGTTATTAGACACCTTTTTTAGTATTTTTGTAGCATAAATGGGAGAAATCTGAAAGCAGCAACCTCCTATAGCTACCTTCCTACCCACCTTCCTGGGAAGCATCGTTTCAACTACAGGCGGATGGAACTGACGAGGATATCGAAGCGAGAATAGGGTAAGCAAGTCAAACTTTCATTGTACTTACGTCTGTGTGGAGGAGGTCAACAGCACTCAGCATGAAGAATAAGTTCGGGATTTTCAACTCCAATCTGAAGTTAGCACTACTCACTATACGGATCAGAGACTTGGCGCCGTGCGCGCCACGAAGGACACTTCGAACAAACTTCAGACCTTCATCAACAGCTGCCTTCGCTCAACACTAAAGATCAGATGGCGAGAAATGATCATCCACAGGGATCTCTGGCGGTGGGCAAACCAACTCAGTAGGAGCAATGTGTGCAGCAAATATGCAGGAAGAAATAGAGGTGGATTGGCCATACTCTGAGAAAACCATCGAGTGAAGTCGAACTGGAAGTGGCGATTTGGTCATCAGTGCGAAAGTAAAATGGAGGGGAGGAGGTCATGTGAAGAGGGGATGAAAGCATGTGGGTAGATATAGAGCCAGGTGAAAATGTTAACAGAGAACCTAACGCAATGGAGACGTGATGATGACGAAAATGATTGTATCCATTATACAAAATTTAGGGACTCATACTCAAATGGATCGTATAATCATTAAAAACTCACTAAAGAAGAGTAAATTTCTTTGACTGATTGTTAGTTGATTATATATAGAACGGAGATGGTGGATTAGTCGATAAGAAATTCAGATGAAACCTTGATAAATAACAGCTCAAAGATTTTGCAAAAAAAGATGGTTCTTATGACCTAATGGATAACGCATTCGCGTTTGAAACGATAGTCCCCGAGTTTGAGTCACCACGACCACACCATCGCTAGTCATTAAGGGTGCAGGTGCATTTATACGATGAAATCGGAATTGGACAAAATATGAGTTCCGTGTTCCAAATAATACTAGTTTCCTCTGATCGAAGTAACCAATGACATGATTCAGCGTGTAATAAATCAATCAACAAGCTCAACTTGATATTTTTGTTATTATTACTATGCTGTTATACGACAAGACTGATTAAATCAACTTCACTTTTGTCCCCTTACAAAATCGATACGGACTTCCTTCTCAAAACGCTTAATATGGTCCGCCCACAAACTTAGTTGACATACAAAACAGAAGGTGAGATGAGAGTGTTAAATGAGGCATTTTCCGGAAAACTCACAGCGTGGGTTGACTAAGTCGTTCATTTATTTTCGATAAAAAAGAAATCTTTTCAATATCCTGATGTTTCGTGCAAGATAAATCTGCACAGTTGACGATCTTGATGACAAAATAAGGAAAAGAGAAAACGGATATCCACAAAAATTTGTTAAAGTGTCCATGATGAGAAGAAATAGAGAGAAATGCCCACAATGGTGTGCAGAAGAAACATATATACATGAATTCAACGTTCAAAGGAGACACAGCCACTGACTAAATGGCATAAAAACTCCAAAAAATAATAGCTAAAACATTTTTTGCCACAATTCTACGTTGAAAATTTACCACTCGTTTTATAATTCCTATACAGGTGAAGAATGAGCTACTCAGACTGGCGACTACAACTGTTCTTGTGGAGACAGTTACACAGGGAGTAGAAAGACTGATCAAGCCAGCCGTCACTTTATGGAGGACTATCCAAAGTGTTTGGATAAAGAAGTAGTCGTAAAGGCAATCATGAGTTCCACACTGACATACCTGGTGGATACGCAGAACAAAATTGACAAAAACATTCGGCTTTTGCAATTCCGTACACAGTGCCACCTCACTTCCAACCTCAAGTTTGTACGCCTTCGATTACTAAGCATAGCTGACCGGGTAGCTATAAAAAAGAGGTATTAGCCCAGTCTTTGTGTTCAGAAGAGGTTCGTTCTATCGCTCTTCCTTCTATGACCTTCAATCACGATTTGGAATTGCTATCCCGATTATTATTATTACCATTATTATTTTGCTTACATTACTGTCGATTATATCATATTTTATAGACCCACATTATTTCAAATGCCTGTAACTACTATTTTATTATGTAATTGTAAAGCCTGATGGAAATTTACCGAAAATACGTATTCGCCTGTTTAAATCGCATTCTGAAATGATCTTTATGGGGAATATTTTAATTATTGAAAAATGGATCAACAGGATCGGCTTGTACTTCATGTCTGTGTATAAATCAGTCTGTCTTTCTGAAGGCGAAAATCAGAAATGGTTTCAGTGAAAATGTTTCTGAGTTCAGATTTCATCATGAATTGACCTCAGATAGTAACCAACTTAATCCGTGCGACAGTTGAAGAGCTGTTTTGTCCTGCTTTGATAATCTTCACAAGGAAGCACTTATGCGATCTTATCAGGGTTCTAACGAATAAGCCTTAGGTTACCATTCAAATGCTCGGACTGAATCTAATAGGTAATGAGATCTGACTTCCGCCATTTTCGGGCTGTATGAAAGCCGTCAGCAGACATTGTCAGGGGATGTAGATCTGTGATGACGTAGCTGTTAAATTATTTATTGTTCTCACCTCAGCTTTTTGTCTACTGTTGCTCCATTATGCTTGTTTTGCCCACTTATATGTGTGCCGCCCTGAGATATGACATTCACAAATGATGCATATTTGCACAAAGTAGTTCTACTACGATAAGTTAATCCGTGAGTTAGCCAGATTAGGATAGTATTCGAAATTGCATTTGCCAATTATTCTCACCTGATTCAATAACGTGCCTCAAAATTCTACAAAAACAATAAAGCAATAAGCGCAGACTACTTCACAATAGATTACATCTTTTCGCGAATAATCTCCACCACCTCACCCCGCCGTTACCACGGTTCTCGTTCACTGGATAGACAGTAATCCAATTGAGATTAATGAGATGCCTCAAGCAATTATTTATTTATTTAAAATATTTTAGTCTTTCACATACTGAGTGGAACAAAAAGCTATAAACTTGTAGGTTTCGCTAGCAGTAGTGTTGTTTCCTAGAGGGTGAGGTAGCTAGCCTCATGCCTAACCCTCCCTCTTTTCCGGGTTCGCTAAAGGTTAAATAAGGTTTGAGAGTGCGTCAGCAGAGAATAAAACTACAAACGCCGTTATTGGTTGGTGAACACCTTACTGACGAGGATATCAAAGCAAGAATCGGAAAAGCAAGACAAGCTTTCACTACTCTCAAGTCTGTGTGGAGGTCAACAGCACTCGGCGTCAAAAATAAGATCCGGATTTTGAACTCTAATGTGAAGTCAGCGCTACTATACAGATCACAGACTTGGCGCCAGTCGCGTCACGAACGGTACTTTGAACAAACTACAGACCTTCATTAACAGTTGTATTCGCTCAATACTCAAGATCAGATGGCCGGCCAGAAAAGATCAGCAACAGAGATTTCTGGAAGCGAACCAACCCAGCAGGAAACGATTGTCAAGCAAATAGGCGGGAAGAAATCGAGACGGGTTGGCCATACTCTGAGGAAACCATCAAGTGACACCACTAGACAATCCATTGCTCGAGTGGAACCCGAAAGGGAAGCAGCGAGTTGGTCGTCAGTGCAATGGTGGCTTGGAGGAGTTGATGTGAAGAGGAGATGAAAACGTGTGGGCAGACTTGGAGCCAGGTGAAGACTCTAGCAGAGAACTGAACGCAATAGAGACGCATGGCTGAAGCCCTATTTTCCTGTAGGAATTAAAGGAAACAATAATAATAAGTACTGCCAAACCACCGACGATGTATTTACCAGTGAATATCAGACAGCCGTGTGCAAGGTCGGCGAGCATCCTAACCTCTGCACCGCCAATGCACTGCTTTACCTCTCTAAGCCAGAAATAAAGATGGTAGAGAGGAAAGGTTAGGCATGAGGCTAGCAACCTCATCTTGTAAAAATAAACATCAATACTACAGAAAGTTGAAGCCCTATGTTCCAGCACTGGGAACGTGAAGGAACAAAAAAACCTGACAGCTGTTTCATCCAAGTTTGGGGCTGTTCAACGGTGCTCACCCAACGGGTTTTGAACCTAAAACTTTCCAGTTACAAAGAGTGCTCGTAGACCATTCAGCGATGTTACCAAAGAAGAAGTAGATTTACGAACTATGCTATTCAAACTTTCAAATTTCTTAACAAAAAAGTGACTGCTTTCAGGATAAGTCCGCAGAAGGACCGCTGATATGACAGATAAACCCCTTGGATAAATTAAAAACGATATAAATAAAACTCAACCCTCAGTCGGTACTTACCCTCATGGAATTGTAACAGTTCAGCTTTAGCTGCTTCTTTTGATTTCATCTTGCATAGATTACGTATCAACCAGGCTGGTTGTTTAATACTAAGTATTCCAACTATAATAATCATAAGTCCACCGATGATCGTGGTAATGCATAACAATGTTCGTATTACAGGGGTGAGTGTTTGTGATTGTTGAGAATGTTGTTGGTCTTGTTGTTTTAAATCCTCATCATCATTATCAACATCAGATGTAGTGATCGGTAGCATTCTAGCACTGATCGATTGTTCCATAGACTTTACAGAATAATTCATAAAAATCAATGATTCATTATTGTAAGGTTTAATTTCAATATTAGCAATAATTACACTACTATGCTGGATAACTTTACCATGATCCTGAGCAATTATACAAAATGTATGCCTGGTATGAACTTGTTCATCAGTGATCCTGCGGATGATGCTTAAACATCCACTCAATTCATCGATTACAAAAAGCCGATTGACTGGTTCTTTGTCTAGCTGTGACGACGATTGTGTACAATTCTCGTGTAAATGATATGTGACCAACGAGTTAGCACCGGCGTCTATATCGATCGCTTTGAATTGAGTGAATGGATGTAGAACATCTTGATTTGTTTGACTAGGAATAAGCATTGTGATATTATAGATTTGAGAGGAGGTATCGTGGGGTGGATGAGCATTCAATTGACTGCAAGAAGACCTATCCTCCGGGAATTTTGATTCACTTTGACCTTCTGATTTACCACAGGAACGTAAAGGCAGGATAAAAACAGGAGCATTGTCATTCAAATCTAACACTTTAATGTCTATATGTACAGATGATGTATAGGCGGGTGTACCATGATCTTGAAATTGTAATGAGATCAGAAATAAATCTCCATCAGTATCACGATCCAAAGGACGTAGTGTTGTTATTGTTCCACCATCAGGATCCACTAGAATGGCATCCTCTGTCTTCTTAAACGCTCCTGTACACGTTCTTACTAGACTTTGTATCACTTTGAAGGTGACACGTCCAGCTTCGCCTCGATCACGATCATGACCTACAATTCGACCGATTGGTGTTCCTGGTGGCTGATTTTCATAAATCTCCAATTCATACTTTTTTCCAGCACTACCTTTCTCAACGCCTGAAATTGTGGAATTTCCAGGATTTGGTCGGAAAAATTCAATTTCTGGTGGATAAGAATTGACCAGGGATACCTGTAGAGATAAAGGCAGTCTAGACGACCGTCTAGGCCTACCGTAATCACTTACAACCACATCGTAAGTGAATTTAACATTCTCTGGGATCAGCTTAAGTGATTTTGAAATTGTAATCAACCCAGTCATATTATTAATTTGTACAAAATCAATCCTATCAATTAATTCATCAGTCTGATTAAAACTGTATTTACTTATAAAATATTGATTTATTGATTTTAATTCATAGCTAAGTACACTATTCATTCCACTGTCAATATCAAGAACAGGAAGTTTCATTATTGTAGCATTGATTGAACATGTCTCTGGAATGACAATATCGATTGGTATTGTTTTAAGTATTGAAATTTTTCGGTGGAAACTGAACAATCCGCTCTTATCCGACTCTTGCGAAGCGTCAATGAACTGAGCCTTGTTCAACCATTGAGCTGGAGAAAAGACTTCAGGTGTTAAAAATATCGGATCATTATCATTCTCGTCTTGTACATGAATATTCAATAAAAGGGTTGATGTTCTGGCTAAAGGTTCACCCATATCTGAGCATATGATGGGCAAATGATGAATTGATTGTTGTTCATAGTCTAACTGATCCAATGAGATTACGTAATACACTTTTGCATGACTGACACCACTTTCATCATTGTCAATATCTTTTATACTTTCAGGTTGTAATATAAAATGTGTAGTGTTCAGTGAACATTGAATTGAACCATTTACACCATGATCAGGATCTGTAACTTTTACAATAGCTATTATTGATCTTGCATTCAAATATTCACTAGCCCATATATGTACAGGGATCAATGAACCTTGAGATGAAATTAACTGATAAGGCATTAAATCCACATGACGAATATTATTCACAGTTAATCCAGTCGAATTCAGTATCTCTTTATAACCCCATAAATCGATAGTTGGACTGTTGTCATTAACATCTTCTATGATAATTGTAACACTTGTCAAAGTGGATCTTGCCGGTTGACCGTTATCTTTAGCTTCAATTCTTAATATGATCTCAGAGATTTTCTCTCGATCTAACGATTTATACAATTTTATTTCCCCACTGACTTGATCAATACGAAATAAATCGATATTATATTGATTGCCTAAAATGAATGGTTCCACTTCTTTGATAGAATATCTAACAATTGAATTGTCCCCAGCATCCATATCAATAGCTTTCACTTGACCAATTAATGTTCCTGGTGAAGCATTCTCTGAAACACGAAATGTATACTGTTTACGTTCAAAGGTAGGCACCTCGTCGTTCACATCAGCGACATGGATATAAAGATTTAATGTGCCGGTGTTTTGATGTGTCAATCCCTTATCGACGGCAATAATCTCTAAAACATAGGAACTGTACACTTCTCTGTCCAATGGTTTTAACAATTTAATATACAGTTTATTGATTTCTGATTGATCCGTTGAATGTAAAGCAGTTGACGATTTTTGTATGTTCTCATGTATTAACAAGAAACTTTGACTGGCAGTACTGCTATTCCCCTGAGGATTACCGTTATTGTGATTTAATACGAACAGTTGCCTAGTGAAACCTTCACTGTTCGAAGCATTTATCGAAGCGATATCATAATTCAGCATTGCATTAATCCCCAGATCTGGATCTACTGCTGAGGGTAGACGAAAACTTGTCCCCGGTTTATCCGCCTCACTCACTGTGATCTTATAGTCGAATGGACTGAACACTGGGGGATTGTCATTGATATCGATTAGGCGTAGTTCAATATTAAAAAATTGCATAACATTTATATAATTCAACCAATGGTCATTAGATCTTGGTATGCTTTCTGAAGGTTGCGAAGCTTCTGACACTGGAGTAGAAGGATGCCAGGCAGTGTTTCCAGACTCACTGATATTTAATGGGATATAAGCTAAGTGCAAGTATACAGAACACCATCCGAGTAGTTCCTGACAATTGCATAAACCTTTCGCCTCATCCGTGTAATGTGGATGCATATAAGAGTCAGAATAAAAGTTGTGATTAATACCTGAATGGAGAAGTTTCGAATTCGTGTGACCAGTATGACCACCACCACCGCCACCCCCACCACTGTTAGGCCAATTACACACAGCCTCTCGATCAATCGATTTACGTAATATCAAGTATTGATCAATATCGACATACCCTGATGATGATGATAATGATGACGTTGAATAATGTTGTTGGGATTCATTTCTAATTTCAAAATATTCATAAAATGGTTGAGATGTTGGAAATAATACAAATTCATGTTTATGTGAATATTGATTAAAATCAATATATTGTTCAATGGAATATTGATCAATGCATAGATCTTTCTTTAAATTAGTTATCGTCATAGGGACAGGTGATTCTTCGATGATTTGATAATTTGTTGTTGCTGATGTTATGGATCCTGAAAATTTTGAGCATATACTATTCACTGTCAGTGGAAGTTGCATCACTATCAGAGGTAGGAGAATATATTTTAAAATATAATAATAATAGTAATAGTAATAATCAGTTTTGGCATTTTGCCACCATAATCCCATATTTGTCACATATCGATTGTTCAATGAGAATATGTTTATAATACGATAAGTGATTTAAATCTTTCTGTTTATGAAGTTTCGACACACTTGTTGTTGTAGTAGTGTTTGATCGGAGACATAAGAAGCGTGATATCTGTTCCGTCTGTTCCGTCCGTGATAAACATCAACAGTTCAAAAAAGGGGAAATGAATAAAATTTTCAATCTGCTATCTGATTGGTCAATACGTTAGTAGACTAGACGTGAATTTGATTGGTTGAATTTAGGAAATGTTAAAGTTTATGTAGGACAATTTGTTGAAATTGAAGCTTATTTTTTTTCTCCGGTTGAGAATTGTATGCTTTACGAGTAACAGAAATAAATTATTTATTATTATTATTCTTATTCCTTAAGGTTCCAAGCAGAAAATAGGGCTTCCACAGCACATCTCCTTTTGTCTGCGGTCGTCTTTAGTCACCTGGTTACTCGATTGTCTAAAGGCACTTTTATCTCTTCCTCCGCCCACTCAGACGCCCAAATCGTCGTTTCGTATTCGGGTTCCACTGCAGGGCTTACTTGTCGAGCACGAAATCATTCAACAATATCCTCAGGGTGTATCCAATCCACTTCTACTTCTCTTTAGCATATCTGTCGGTGGAAGGGTGATAGTTTCTTGGTTAATTCGTTGTATGAAGATTCTCTTATCGATTGATCGTTTCTGGTTGGTCGGTCATATGATCTTCAGTATTCGGTGAAGGCAGTTGTTGACAAACGTCTGCCCAGAATGCTATCGCTTATACAAGCATCAGGTCTCAGAACCATATTAGAAGCAGCAGTCGAGCTAACATTATTGTTAAAAATTCGAATCTTGTTGAAATTAAAAAAGAATACGGATAAACATTCTAATTTGAGCATATATATATGTAATATTCGAAAAGCAATCATTATTGACAGTATTATTTCTTTTGGTACCAAGTGGAAGATAGGGCTTCAAAAACACACACCCACTTTGTTCTATTTTCTGAGATCCTCCACATCTGAGTTCGCGATTGACCATAGTCTCTCACCTCTTCTTCACATGATCTCCATAATGTCACACTCACACTGACGATCCACTTGTTTCTTCCCTTCGGGATTTTGCTCGACTGGTGGCCTGAATTACGCACGATTTTATTCGATGACCTCCTCAGTGTTTACCCGTTCTATCCCCATTCTCTCCTACATGTTAGCTAAGACAACGGCTCTTGGCTGGTTCGTTCCACTGCAGAGTTTCTTGTTACTAACTCTTTGTAGCTGGTCTTTTGATCTTCAGCATGGAACCAGTAGAACCAGCTGTTGACAGAAGCTTGTAACTTGTCTTAAATCCTTTTCGTGACAGAGGCGCCAAGTTTCTGACCCATATAGAAGCACTAACTGACTGACTACACATGTTTGTTGAAAGTCTGAATCTTGTTCTTTATCCTGAGACGGAATGCAGAAGATTTTCAAACTGGTTTCAGCTTGAAGAAGACTTAACTTGCCTTTCCTATTATGACTGGTTTGACATTCTCATCCATTTCGCTGTGGTTGAAACGACACGGCCTAGATAAGCGAAGAAAGCGACCTCTGTCAAATCTCTCCCGTTTACAGTTATTGGTGCCGGTTGTCGTTGTTGCTCTTCCTTGGTTATCTTCATCACTTCCGTCTACTTTATGTCCAGTCATGTCTTCGCTGCCTCTTCAGCAGTTTGTTGGTATTTGCCTGTATGTATTCAAGTTATTCTGACATAAGACGTTTATCATCCACATGCGAAATCCAGATCTCCCAGAGTCTTCTTATGGGTGGTCCAGCGTATTCCTGTATCTTCACTCCTCACAGTGTGACGCATAATCTAGTCCACTGCAATAGAAAACCAGGTAGTACAGCCAGGCAGCTGTCTTGTCAGCCTAGTTTGAGAATCATCGGCAGTACGCATACACTGGAGTTCGAATCCAGGACCTTCCTGTTACAAGCAAACTCGTATACCATTCATCCACTGGGACTCGATTCAATGGCTCATGAAGTCTAACTTCTACTAATTCGTGATTTAGCGTGACTGGCACCAACCAATGTCATCGGTGGGACATCCGTCTTCGTAATTGACTAGATGGACCTCGCTGGTCACGAATTCTTACTAGAACTACAAGAAATCCGTCCTGCAGCATCCTACGCATCTTTCGTCTTCATTAAGCAACTCCTTTACCATTGCATGCATACATTTATTTTTTTAAAACTTGAACCGCCTGTGTAAAAACTATATAAGCGCAATTTTCTGAGCACTGTTCACTAATTGTGGAACCTTCTGTAAACTGACATCATGAAAAATTTGCAAGTATATTAAAACGTTTCTGTATATTAACCTGATAATTTATTTGGGCTGTAAGCAGCTGAGCTGATGAGAAGCCAAAGAAATAAACAATGATGGTACCATATTATTCTGCACCAACCACCGTTGTTCTTCTATGTATCAATTTATCAAGGAGGATAAATGCATGAAGATAGAATATCCATATTCGTAAGGTAAAATTGAAGTGGTTGTGAAGAGGCAGATTAATTCTGCTGCCCTGAATTCTTTTTTCACTGTGTGCCTTAAGCGCTGGGTTATTGTTTCACTAATTTCTTCAATGAAATTTTCTGACTACTCATTCACATTGATAAATTACAAAATCACTTTGGTTAAAAGTCCAAAATCACATGCCACAACAGTAACGGCTTCATTGTAAATAGTGCCCTTAGACACACTGGTAATTTTCAGCTAGTTTAATAACAAGGTATTTACAGCTCAGGCAGAAACTTCAAATTACGCAATAACCAACAGTATATCGCCTGAAGGAATATTGTTGCATCTGTAGCAGGTTTCAGTTCTACTCAACATCATTTCTCTTCCATTTGCTTCAAAAATTTTCTACCGATAGATAGAAACGATTGAAATTGTGCGCGACTAACAACTGAGAATTATTGTAGCTATTAAATGATTAAAACAAAATGAACTGGAGTAAATGCAACCCAGGGATTTAAGCAGGTTGCCATATATATTCAACTCTGTTAATACCAAGTTCATTCGGTGGGATACAATGCATTAACTTGAAAGCTATCGTTTTCCCCGCTACATGTCTACTATCAACTGAGTGTGACAAAATGAAGCTACTGATTGTTTCTGTCTGTCCTTTGCCAAACAGAGATGGCAGGTGTTCAGTAGTGACACCCTGTCTAAGCTGTCTAGTAGTACATCCAATATAAATGTCATAGCTGGTGCAGTTGAATTGATAAATGCACATAAATGCTACAAACCTATCTAGCTTATCCTTCGTTTGCGTCTCAATCATTCGTCGTATACTCCTGGAAAGTTTCTGGAATAAAATCTCACTTGACAAGTCACCATAAAATTGTGACTTAATGAACAGAAGTTTTTACGAAGAGTCATACTCTCGGGTTTTCTCTCCAAGGTTTTTATGTGTTTCTTTGTAAAACTACTCAAACAGCCCAAGTCCATCGAGGAATCATCCGTACATGTCTCCCTCGCTCTGCTCGTAAGACCTTTAACAAAATTTCTTTTATATTGAATGAGCACATAGCTAAAGAATTGTGTGTATGGCTCTGTGAATGTGCATTTTCTACACAGGCATCTCCCAAGTGACCCATCTTCTCGTCTACACAGCAAGATATCGAGAAAATGTAGTTTATTATCCTGCTCCTCTACACAAGTAAAAGTAAGCGAACAGTGCATGTTATTGAATTTCATCAACAATACGTTCATGTTTGCACTCCCACCAACTAAGATAAATGTTTAAACAACATAACAGTAGTACATATCCAACTCTCTGATGATGTTGCTCAATCTCCCGCTTTCAAGTTCTGCGAGAAATAAGTCAGCTAATATTAGGCCTAATGATGATCCCATTGCTATTCCATCTACTTGTCGGTGGTGTGAATTATTGAAGACAAAATGCACTTTCATTGTACTTTGAATAAATAATTCTTTGAGTCTACATAAAGGAATTCCTAAGTCCAATTACCTTTCGGTGAGTTCTTGGCAAATGTAATCTACTGTTTCTATATGCTGGACATTCGTGAACAGAGATGGTACATCCATGTATCACATACGTTTTAAACCTCTAACTGGTCTTGTATATTGAAGCAAATAAAACAGAAAACACTTTGAAATAATTTTTAGCATACTAAAAACATTGATTAGTGAACAAAGCATATCTAAAAAAAACAAAATAATTGAGCAAAGAATATCTTTTTCGATGATTTCCTCTTCTGGCTCTACATTTATGTATATATGCTTATATACATGGAATATTTTAGAATGGTAGTCAATAACAATATTAGTTTTTTTTTAAAATAATATCGATTTGTAAAGTAAGACTGCAATGGGATTACAGTTCATTAAAGATGCATGAATTCTAATAATAGTATAACAGAAAATAGAATATCAACAAAGATTAAGGAAATTTCCCCGAAAAATTGAGGATCATTCGAACCTAAATGGCCGAGGTAAGGACAATGTCTGAACTAGCTTCTTTTGGACATATAAATTAGGCTTCTTAATGTGGATCCTAAGCAACATTTAGTAAACGATCCCTTAATGCAAAATTTAGATTTGTTGGTATGCGGTAAATGACTTTCAGCGTTGCTTCGTTGACATCAGTCTTGTGTTCTGTATCCACAAAATGAGATAGAATAGCGCTTCGAATAGATTTCATTTGTCCTTTACTTAACTACATAGCATGATGTCCGGAAATCTGAAGAGAAACACGCCTAATTGCACACTCTATGTAACTGGCTCCACAGGAGGTGTTAAACTGGTAAATATACATGGAAGAGGCGAATGTAGGCAGTTTATCTTTTACTCTCGAAAGCGAAAATGGGGGGGTTGAAGACACAGAGTAATTCGGCAGTAAGGGAATGCTCTTAAGGTGTTGTGTTAGCACCTCACTCATGTTGTCCCCGAGGAACTAAATTTGTAGGAATAAGGCGTTTTTAGGAACTGTCGGTACCGTGAGCTGCCGTGATTTTTGAATTATATTCTGATCAATGAACATTTCTGGATAACCGTTCTCACTCAGCAACCGTTCAATATTATTATTAAGTTCCTCATCAAGACATTCATCCGAGCAGATTTCTCTCGCTCTGTGAAACAAGCACTTTATCAGATTGCGTT